TAACATACCTAAAGACCTGTAAATATCTGTAAACATTATTAAAACACCTGTAAACACTTGTTAACATTCCTAAACACCTGTCAACATAGGTAAACACCTGTTAAGATAAGTAAACACCTGTTAACATAAACACCTGTAAACAGTAGTAAACACCTGCAAATATATGTAAACAATTGTAAACATTACTAGAAACCTGTTAACATAAGTAAACACCTGCAAACATCTGTTAACATACCTAAAGACCTGTAAATATCTGTAAACATTAAAACACCTGTAAACACTTGTTAACATTACTAAACACCTGTCAACATAGGTAAACACTTGTTAAGATAAGTAAACACCTGTTAACATAAACACCTGTAAACAGTAGTAAACACCTGCAAATATATGTAAACAATTGTAAACATTACTAGAAACCTGTTAACATAAGTAAACACCTGCAAACATCTGTTAACATACCTAAAGACCTGTAAATATCTGTAAACATTAAAACACCTGTAAACACTTGTTAACATTACTAAACACCTAAACATCTGTGATCACCTGTAAATGCTTGTAAACATTCCTAAACACCTGTTAAAATAAGTAAACACCTGTAAACATTAGTAAACACCTGTAAACACCTGCAAATACCTGTAAACATCTGTAAACATGGCTAAAAACCCGTTAACATGAGTAAACACCTGTAAAAATCCATAAACACCTGTAAACACCTGTTAACATGCCTAAAGATCTGTAAACACCTGTTAACATCCATAAACACCTGTAAAGACCTGTTAACATGCCTAAAGACCTGTAAACACCTGTAAATATCTGTAAAAACCTGTAAATATCTGTAAAGACCTGTAAACACCTTTTCACATGCCTAAAGAACTGTAAAGACCTGTATAGACCTGTAAACACCTGTAAATATCTGTAAACACCTGTAAACACCTGTTAACATGCCTAAAGAACTGTAAAGACCTGTATAGACCTGTAAACACCTGTAAACCTGTAATGAGAGCGGCTTACATCACGTCTCACTCGTTGTTTTTGTCCTCCAGTATTCTGTCTCGTCTCTGAAGAACATCCCAGAACTGTCCAGAAGGACTGATGGTCAGGCAGAGGACAGACCAGGTAACCCAGTTTAGATTTGACCTGCAGAACCATGCACAAGTCCTGATCCGGTCCTGATCAGTCCTCATCCAGGTTGTGTGGACTGGACCAGGACTTTCCACAGAACCTTACCCCCTCTGGTCCTCCTGCAGCTCCAGCCATCACCTGGAGCCGTGGCGTTTCCTCCCACGGCGGTGGAGGAATCAAACCCACGGGCCTCGCTGAGGTCCACAGTAAGTTCCGTCCGGTGAAGCGGGTCTCTCCTCTCAAACACCACCCAGAAACCACCGACTCGGACTCTGACGGGAAAGGCCAGAACCAGGGTCTGGTTCTGGGGGAGCAGAACGAGGTTGGTAAGGATGAGCCCGGTTCTGACAAGCAGACTTCTGCCTCCTCGTCCTCTGATGGGTCCGGAGGGAAGGTGAGAGGCGGCGGTGTGGTCGGAGGGAACAACCCTCAGGTTCTGTTTGGAGAACTGGAACACTACGACCTGGACATGGACGAGATCCTGGACGTGCCTTACATCAAGTCCAGTCAGCAGATGTCCACGCTGCCACGTGTCCCCCACGACAAGCGAGTGCTGACAGGGAGCAGCGTGGGAGGAGGAACCCTGGAGAGGAACCGGAGCGGGGTTCTGAAGAACTCTGTGGTCCACAACGAGCCTCTGAGCCTGAACAGCAGCAGCTCACAGCCTCCGGTGAGTCCAGGATTTACAAAGATCTGCAAACATCAGCTGAGACCTTCTGACCCCTCTGTGTGTCCTGCAGTACTGTGTTCTGTCCCCGGTGAAGTGGTCTGACCTCAGGAAGTCCAAGTCTGTGGATCCAGACCTGCATCACCTGCACCGCTCCCCAGGTGGAGGAGGGTTCCAGTCAGAGCTGGTCTCCTCAGGTCTCCTGAGCTGCTCCTCGTCTCTGTCTTCGTTCTCCGATGCAGGTTTGTCCTCGAACCTTCTTCTTCTCTCCTAACGATGGGCTGATGTCTGCTAAGATCTTCAGCTCTTCTTTCAGACAAGCTGCTGTCGGCTCGCGTCTTCCCCGAGTCCCAGAACCAGAGACCAGGTGGGGATCCTCCCGGGATGATGTTCCCCCTGCCGGGCTGCAGCCCCAGCAGACCGGATGGCTCCAAGCCATGCTGGGCTCCTGGAGCAGGAGGCCCCAGAGGGTTTGGAGGAGCAGGTGGGGAGGTGGACGAGGAGACCAAGAAGAACCAGAACATCATCAACATCGTCCGAGAAGGACAGATCTCTCTGCTGGTCAGTCTTTAGTGGACAGATCTCTCTGCTGGTCAGTCTTTAGTGGACAGATCTCTCTGCTGGTCAGTCTTTA